AGGGCTTACCCCTTGTATTTTTACAGATTGGTTTCAGTGAAAATATAGGTAAGGTTAAATTGATGAATTTTTTTTAATAATCTCAGCAGATTATAGAATAAACACTAAAGGAATCAGTGTAATATACTGTAGTAATGGAATAAAAGCTAATAACTTTAGGATTGTTTTCATAGAGTAAAAAACATTTGAAACTGTTATTTATTCATGAGAAAATCAGCAATCTTGAATTTAAGTTCATGACCTCTGTATGATAAGAACCATCTACAGAAAGCCTCTAGCCTCTCTTAATGCAAAACTATGGAATGTTTTCATATTGGGAGCAATTGAATCAGCAATTGTGAATTTAAGTTCATGACCTCTGTATGATAAGAACCATCTACAGAAAGCCTCTAGCCTCTCTTAATGCAAAACTATGGAATGTTTTCATATTGGGAGCAATTGGATTGGAAGACCTAGCCATTATAATAAAGAGAAAGAAAAGGTGTACAGTTTGTAAAATAGAGGAATAATTGTCTTAATTTGTTGATGACATGTCATATACATAGAAAATTCTAAGGAATCTGTGAAACAACTACTCAGATGTGAATTTTGGCCATATGAAAAGATTATATACTGTAATAATCAGTTGGAAATTGCAATGTAAAAATTTTACCTACATTAACAGCCAAAAGAATACTTAGAACAAATGTTATAAAATATATGCAAGATTTGAATATAGTCTGCTCTTTCTACCTACAGGTTCCATATCTATGGATTCAGCTAACCATGGTTCAGAAATACAGTGTAACAATTATATACCTAGATTTACATTGTATTAGGTATAAATAATTTTAATAATCTAGTCCTGATTTAAAGTACACCTAAAGTACACATATAGGTTATGTATAAATACTACACACCATTTTATATAAGGACTTAAATAAGATACCAACTTTTAATATCACCTTAAACTGTCCTGGAACCAATTCATCATGAATACTGAGGTATTTCAAATTACACAATATTACTGTGAAAAATTAATTGTGTTAGAAATATGAACATATTAAATAGAATAAATATTGAAGGCTAGGTATTGAGTTGTCATTTCTCTCAGATGGAAATTCAGTACAATCCCAATCAAAACTCCTTTAGGCTTTTTTAAAAGATATTTATAAATAGATTCCAAAATGTACATGGAAAAGCAAAATAAAGTATTCATAATATCTAGAATAATCTTGTGAATGAACAAAATTAAAAGACTGTTATTTGATTTGAAAACTTCCTATGTTGCTACATTAATCAAGACCCTGTGGTACTATCTAAGGATAGACATAGATCAGTAAAAAAGAATGAAGAGCCTTAAATAGCCCCTATATGGTTCATTTGATTTTTTTAAAATATCAAACTCGAGGAGGATCCCTGTGAGTTCAAGACCAGCCTGGGCTACATAGTGAGTTCCAGGTCTGTCTCAACTACATAGTGAGACCCTGTCTCAAAAAATAAAATAAATACATTTATTTAGTCAATTATCAGGGAGAAAGAACGAGTTAGATGCAGCCCCTGCCTCCAAGGAAGGCAGAGTCCACCTGGAGATACAGACAGCCGAGCTCAAGCCATCAAGGGCCACAGCCCCGGGGCAGGAGTCTGGGGGAACAGCTCGGGAACAGAGCGGGGATCGAACTCGGGTCCTTGTGCTCGCGAGGCAGGCGGTGGAACCACTGAGCTAAATCCCCCGGCCTAAAAACTGGTTTAAACAGAAGAAATGGGATCTTCCAGGCAGACTAAGAAAAAAAGACATTACAGGAAAATTTGAGGTCTGCTGCATACGACGGAGGGAAGAGAATATACAAATTTTTGAGCTCTGCATGGAGGCAGGAGGATCACTGAGTTTGAGGTCAGCATGGGCTACAGAGTGAGTTCAAGGCCAACCTGAACTACAGCAAGACCCTGTCTCAAACAACAAAACACAACAAAAATGAAAAAGAATATACAAATGTCATTGTATGTCTAAGGCATGAGTGCATGAAACTTCTCACTCTCCATTAAAGAGAACCAGAGTTGGTTGGACAACTGACGGATTCTAGATCTGGGCCTGGGAAAGAACAAATAGATGAGCTTGTAATATTTTGTTGTACCAGAAAATAAGTGCTAAAAAAAAAAAAGATGGGGACAGCTGGGGAATATGGCACAGTGGGAGACAGTTTGAGAATCCTAGTAAATAACACAGGTAGATTTTAACCTATGAAGAAAACTAGAACTCTAGTTGTTGATGCCAATATGGATAAATAAATAAGGGAATATTGTGTCTCACACAATTCCAAATAATAAGCATAGAAGGAATGATAAAAAAATTGCTACTTGGAAATTATTATGATTAATAATGGATCCTCAAACTGGTGAGTGGAACAAGTTTGCGTTCAGAAGAAATGGGATAGTGACATATGACAAATCACCTTCCAACAGTACTTATTGCTGGGCCAGAGATGCAGCTCAGTGGTTCCGCCGCCTGCCTCACAAGCACAAGGTCCCAAGTTCAATCACCGGTAGCAAAAAAAGTGTGTCACCAAAGTGGCTGTGGTTGCCTCTGGACAGGTGGGAACGTAGGGGTGACTCATCCAGCCCTTCCGGATCTGTGGTCCCAGCTGCCCGCCCCGCTGGCCAGGCTTCTTTCCAGCAGCAGAGCCAGCCTGGGACTTGCACGTCGATCCTCAGCAAGCTTCACAGGGGAAGCTGAGGTGCTCCCCACTGAGCCTGGAGTGCGTGTTTACACCAGCACTTTTTCTGCACCTGTATCTTCAATCCAACAAGGCCTTTTTTTGTGTGCCAAATAACAAGAGGCCCCAGGCGGCGATTGCATTATGCCCTCTCAGCTACTGCCCAAGGTCTCTTCTGCACCAGACCTGCTTGGCACCACAGGGAGCTCCTTCCCTTGCACGATGACGTTCCAACCACAGCAGCCAGGAAGTTGCAGCCAACCTTGCTGATTGTCACAAGCAGGACCGTGGGTCCATTGGACTCTTGGTGAGAGTAAGCCCTTTCCTGGGAGGAGGAAACTCCTCTCCATAAATCTGCTCAGTCCTGTGCAAATGGCACTTCAGAGGAGGCCCGTGCATGTGAGTCTATGAGCCAACGCAATATGCAAAGACACTTTGACATATCAGGGCTGGTTTTTCTGTTCATACCTAGTTCTGGTGCTCAGGAATGGGGAACTATGCCGATGCCCAAGGGCAGAAAGACCTTGAGGCCCAATAAGGGGCAACCCTAGGCTTTGTTTTTCTTGCTTTTCTTTTTGTTTTTGTTGGCCTTGTGCTGGCTCTGTGTACAAAAGATATATTTTGTTTAACCAAATATTAAAAATGGAAAACTCAAAAAAAATAAAATATCAAACTCAACTGCAGAAAGAAAACAATTTCAGCAAACCATACTAGAACAGCTAGATACCCATATGGAATTTGAAATAAATTACCCTTCAGATAAGACAGAAACATCAATTGCATCACAAGCCCAAATGTAAAAGTAAAAAACAAAGCTTTTTAAAAAAACACGCAAAGGAAGATATACAAATGGCTCATATGCATAGGGAAAGATGCTTGACATCTTTAGTAATCAGAAGATTGCTTATCAAAACCACCATGAGGAGCAGCTTCATACCTCCATAGGATGGCTAAGAATATCTTTGTGATTCACAAGCAGTAAAGATTTTTCATGACAACACAGAAACAATAATCATAAAGCAAGACGATAAATTAGGCTAAAATTTAAAATGTCGAATCATTAAAATTAACTGTTAAGAAAAGGAAAAGACAATCATAGACTTTTGGAAATATTAGCAAAAATCTACAAAGCAGGTCTTTCAAGGGCCTAGTATCCGTGACACATAAAGACTGCCACAAATGAAAAATAACACAGCCCAATAAAAAAGCCGAAAGACTTTTCTTAAAAGAAGATACCAGAATGACTATAAGCACATAAACTGTTCAGCATTCTAAGATAAGAAGGAAATGTAAGTTAGAAACCACAGTGGTGAGCCAAAGCATGGCAGTTTATGCCTGTGGCCCCATTACTAGGGAGGCTGAGGCAGGAGTACAGCTCCCACCCAGGAGTTCCAGATCAGCCTGGGTAAAATAGCAAGATCCCTCAAGGAAAAAAAAAAGGCAAAACAAAAATGCAAACTAAACAATGGTATGCTGATCTTTTAATGACAGTGATACTGATATTTTGCAGTTTGCTTTGAAATGCATCAAAAATGAGTGGGTTGAAAAATTGATGGGTAGATAAAATATGTGTTAAGTCAAGTAAGTGAAATGTTGATAATACAGTCTAACCAGGTGGTGATTCTATGGATGTTTGCTACATTTTCCTTTTAGTTTTTCTGTATGTGGTAAATTTTCACAGTAAAATGTTGGGAAGAGGGTGTAAAGAGATGAAAGCAGAACATCTTTTTTCAGTGGACTATATTACAGTAGCTTCTCAGTGTATGGAGTAGAGATAACATAGGAGTCATAGAATTGCCTGAATTCAAATCTCAGATTGTCATACTAGCTGTGGGATCTTGGGAAAGTTACTTAACAGTCTGTGTCTCAGTTACCTGTGAAATAAGGTCACAGTCATTGGGTTAGTCTGAGAATGGCTGGTTGTCTGGCTCACTCTTGAGCTGTGCTGAGCACCTGTTGAGTTCTTTATGTGTTAAGACTGAAATATGTACATTTACTTGTAAGAAAAATGCATTTTATTAGATTGTATTTTTAAATTTCACTTTTAAAGTATTTTATAGTTAAGATGAGGCCAGCACTAGTGCTGGTGTAGGCATGATGGGAGTGGGGAAAACAGGAGGAAAGTAGAGGAATAGACAGGTGGAGAAATGAAGGGGACTGATTGTGTGCACTTGAATTACAAGGTCCCCGTTAACCTTTTTAAAAACAGTGTGTGGCAAATACTGTCTGTATGTTTTATTGGAAATCTTCAAGGAAAAAAAACAAAAGTAATATGCATTGCATAATACATTGATTACGTTTTTATAGATTGACCTAGAAGCTGAGAAGGTGAGCACTGTAGCTGGCATTGGAGTTCAAGGTACAGATAAAGAAGGAGGAGCAGAAGGAGAACAGCAACCCATTAGCTCCCCTTGGGATATTGCTTTTGGAACATCAGGTATGTAAAGTTTTAAATGTAAGCAGACTTTGCTTAATCAAAGACTTTAAAAATATGCTTGAAGTATTCCTTTGGATAATTCTGTTGCTAGTTTTATACTCATTTATGGCTTGGAGTTTGTTCATTATGTGCAACAAAGTCAGAAATAACATATTCCTGATAGAAAATGTATTATATATAACAATATACATTTTCTATACAAGACAGTTTAAAGAATTTCATGTCAGACACCTCTTCCAACTCACCTAGTCCTGAATATTCTTAAATTGAAAGGTTTATAGCTTCAGAACTTCAAAAGGTTATTAAAATTCGGGAGCTGCTTTTTCTTTTGATTTTAAAATTTAGTGTAGTATTGAAATATGATAGCTTCTTTTGAGCAATTAAAACATTTCACCCTACTGACTTATGCAAACATTGATAAAATAATTGCGTTATTTTTGTGATTTTTATTATCTATATTAATTAGCTTGAAAAGAAATCTAAGAGTACTCTTATCAGTACTCTTTATTTTCATTGGCCCTCAGCAATACTGAATTGGTTATTTATGTGTTTATAAAATCAGACAAGTGAGTAGAGAAAGATTACGTTGAAAATGGAATTTAAGGCTAAATAGGTCACATGATCTTAAGGTATTTAAAGACAATAATGTGGAGAATAAAACTCTAGTCATATGTGGAGAATTAAACTCTATTAGTAAACCAATTAAAGCATAGTCTCCTTTTTATTGTCGTGCATCAGCAATTCTAAACAATTTGAGAGTTAAGTGCCCACCAACAGTTACCACACCTCTTTCCTCAGCTTTGGTACAACACAGAGCTATTAAAATATACATCTAATAAGTGGAAAAACAGCTATAGATGGTTATAGATGGCACATTTATAGTTTGAAGCATAGTAAAACTGTCAGTAGCATAGGCAAAGTAAATAAGAATTCCTGCTTCGATATGCTATTTCCATTTTGCAAGGGAAAAAAAATTATGCACTTTATATGTACATAAGCCTGTGAATGATTTATAGCCAGTAATTCACAAAGCAATTTAGTTATTGATACTTGCATTTTGCTACTTTGTATCTACTGTATCTGTTAGTAATCCCCATAGTTATACTGCATAAGAAATCATCCCAAGACTCAGAAACCTCAGCCTTTACTTCTTGCTCATATATGGGGTTGGGTGTAGTCTGTTGAGGCTGAGCCAGCCTGGGCGTGGTTCCAGTTTTTTTATTAGGTCCAGACCTGATGTAAATGGTACTCATCTTCTGTGGACCACTGACTGTTTGAGAAATACTCTTTCTCGACAAAAGGCAGACGTCCTGGAGGGTAAGCCCTGTCATACACATGAAGCTTTTATTGTCATACCTACTTACCACATTATTAAAACAAGGCATATAACCGAGGATAAAGTCATGGGACAGGGATGCCCTCATTATCCCCACAGAGGCTGTAGCAGGGACATGGATATGGATGAGTGAAGAATTGAGATAATAAACATCACATTATCAGAATTACACTGTTAAAACACCGTGTTTTATTGACTAGATGCTAGACTAAGTTGGATTTATTTAATGGTGAAGGCATACCTAAAATATTGTCTAGGCTAAAATTTTTTCAACCACAGTTTATGGCATGAGATTTCTGGCTATCTTTATATCAAGAATGCATCCAAATTACTCTGCAAAGAAATTCTAGCTTTATACAAGTATTCCATCAGGTCCCACCTCACATGATGGCCATTGGAGATGTACACCTTCATTCATTAAGATCAGTTTTCAAGAAAGGAGGTAAAGTCAGCATGATGGCATACTTATCCCAATACTCTGGAAAGCTGAGGCAAGAAGAACAAAAGTTCAAGCCCATCTGGGCAGTTTGGTGAGTTAGTGAGACCCTGTCTCACAATAAGAAAAAGGGCTGAGGATGCAGCACAGTATGAAGGCTTTGGGCTCCAACCTCAGTACCATGCACAAACATATCTAAGAAAAGATGTGAACCCTGCCTTAGCTCAACAAATCATGGCTCTATATTTAACTTGGAGCTGAAAATGTCTTTAATTCCAGGCTCTTGTTAGAAGTAATGTTAAGTACATTTAACACCAAACACCTGGCAGGATGCTGGTGAAGAGAAATGGCTTTTTCAAGCACTGTGTGAAGGTCCTACAGTCACAAACATCACTCTCACCCAAGACTTTTTGTCTTGGGTTCCACACCAATGAATAGTTGAATAGGTATTATAAAGTAGTTATAAATCTGGGAGTATTCTCAGAAATTCTTGTTAAGATTTGGGAGAGTTGTTTAAATTTTCATCAGACTTTCAAAGTGATATGTTACCCCAAAACATTTTAAGAGTGACTGGTTTAAATTATTCTAAAATCTATTTAATCTATGGGGGCCGGGGATTTAGCTCAGCGGTTCAGTAGCCTGCCTTGCAAGCACAAGGACCCGAGTTCAATCCCCGGTACCAAAAAAAAAAAAAAATCTATTTAAAATCTATCTGGATTAATGTGCATTGTACATTAATATATGTCAGAATATGGAGAAATTGCATCATAGATACTTGCTCTACTTACAGTTGCTTGCATTTTACCAAATCATTCATTTTAAAATATATCAACTTATATATGAGTGTCCTATATATGTATTTCATATATACTTCATCAAAACACAGCCCTGTGGGATGTGTTACTGGTTTTACTATAGGAATTTGCTGACCTTATTACATTATAAATGACCTCTGGTTATCTACTGAAGAAACCTTTTTTCTAGGCCTTATATTACTGGTAACTATATTTATTTTTCATAGATACTAAGGTTTTTTTGTTTTGTTTTAGGTTTTTTTTCCTTACTTGTTAAAATGTATTGTTTAATTAAGCCTTTAGGTTTGTTTTGAAGCTCTAGGATATTTTGACTGTGACAACTGTTTCATTATATTGATTGCTAGGAAACAGACAGATTTATCCTTAGCAAAATATGATGTATGACATAGTGCTTATTTTTTAATATACTCTGTATACATGTTTCTTTTGTACCCTCATTTACCCTTTTGCTTTAGTTTCTTATTTCAAATTTTATTTATCTATTAGACTTATTTCCTTTGAGCTAGTTGCTGAGGTACACACCTGTAATTTCAGCTATTGGGAAAACTGAGACATGAGGAATGAAGTTAGAGGCCAGGCAAGACCTTGTCTCAAAGTAAAATGATCTGGGGATGTAGGCCATGGTAGAATATTTGCTTAGCCTGTGCAGCTCCTTATGTTCAATTCCCAATAATCAAAGAGAGAGAGAGAATTACTTCTTACCTACCACAGTCCTTTGTGAAATAAAAGCACATATAGAATCTCTCTTTTCTGATGTGATTGAGTCTTTGAATCTGATATTCAATCTATATAGAAAAAAATACTAAGTTGAGAATCAAAAAATTTTTCAATATATTCAAAATTAAAACACATTTTAATTTAAGAAATGTACAGTTTAGGCCGGGCATGGTGGCACACGCCTGTAATCCCAGCATTTGGGAGGCTGAGGCAGGAGGATCGCTGTGAGTTCGAGACCAGCCTGAGCTACATAGTGAGTTCCAGGTCAGTCTCAACTACATAGTGAGATCCTGTCTCAAAAAAACCA